TTGAGTATCAGATTGTTCCATCTTGTTTCCCTTTGGGGTTGCTGTAGGTGATCTGGAAGTCTGTTTTTGAGGCTTGTTTACATGTCTTCTCATTTTCATGGCAGCAGGGGGAGCTTCTGGTGCTTTTGCTTCTGGTGCTGCGTGGCTCACCTTCTCTGCCCTAGGAGCATGGGATGGCGGCAGGGGAGCTTCCTTCTGGGTGCTGGGACTGGCCCACCTTCTCTGCCCTAGGAGCTTGCGATGGTGGCGGGGGATGGAGCTAGGGTCTTAAGGATCAAGATGAGGCTGGCTTTTTAAGCATTTAAGAAACTACAAACTAGATTTAGCTGCTGTGGCATGAATGTGTGCTGCTGGGGTGATGCTCATAGGAACTGTCAGAAGTGGAAGTGAGCAGGAAGGAGCAAGTCCCTGCCTCCTCCCAAGCCTTATAGTAACCCTCTAAGCCAGTGGTGGGGACCTGTGTTGTTTTTCTTTTAAGACAAAAGATAATGTGTGAGTTGTGTTTTTCTAAACCAAAACCTCAGTGTTCATGTTTAATTGCAGTGTTGGCACTTTTCGATAAATAAGTGGGTTTTGGGTTGCCATCTGGGCACTTGTCTCTAAAAGGTTTGCCATCACTGCTCTAAGCAGTGAATTTGATTGGTGGAGTCATAGCATCACAAAGCTGAGTTCAGAAGGGTAGGTTTGGGGCCTGACCCTCCCCCAAAAGGATACTGCGCACAGGCACAGATACAAGGATGTGGGGTGGCTGGGAGCCATTTTTGAGGGTGCCTAGCAAGTCCCCTTTCTCACTGTCACTCAGGCCATGGTGGCACTTTTTTTTTTTTTTGGTACCGGAGATTGAACTCGGGACCTTGAGCTTGCAAGGCAGGCAGTGGAACCACTGAGCCAAATCCCGGGCCTGGTGGCACTAACTTTTTAAGAGTAGTGATGGCATTCTGGACAAGTGACACAATATGAAGGCTCAAGTCATGTTGAGGTTCCTGTTCTAATCAAATTACACTTTATCACAAATTAATTTAAGGCTTATATAATGATCCTCACAAGTATAATGGTGCTATATGGTAATTAGGTATTCACGTGGTACAAAGCTCACCAAAATGACTATAATTAGCATTACTTCTGCACAACCAAATCCACTTAACTTTTCCCTTCCTATTTGTGTCAGCAGGATCTATCAAGAGCTTCCTCAAAAGCTTTGATAGTTTTCTCAGTTACCACCTACTACTTAATTATAACCCCATGTGAAAACTCTGACACTCATATAAACAAAATTATAAAGATTCTAGATAGTACCACACAGTAGTTCAGTGTGCTGCCTTTGCCTCCTTCTCTCAGTGTTTGCCATTTCCCCTTGCTTCCCAGAGGAAAACTCCTGAACAGCAAGAGGCTGAGCTGAATTTCTTAAGGGAGGTATGCATAGATGGTGTGGTGAGGCCAGCTCCAACTTGCCAGCATTTCTGCATGGGCTACTTGAAATTATTAAAGCAGGTCGCCCCTAGGTCTCCCTTCACCAGTTGCAGATTAGTTAGGGGTAATTCTAGCAGAGAATAAAGTCCTTAAACTTTTCACAACAATGAAAAAGTAAATGTGCAAATGGAAGCAAGGGAGCATATTGGTATTGAGTGAACTTCAGTTATACAGAAGCTGTTGTCAGATCCTTTCTTGTATTCATGGGGAATGAGGAAGAACAGCAGTCAGAAGGGCAAGGAGAAAGATACCATCAGAGGCACGGGTGGAGTGGGACAGTGGAAGGAGGAACTGAGGCACTGAAGACCTGACTAAATACGATTTCTTGGTAAAATATAGGACCTTCAGTTAAATTGGAATTGCCAGATTTAGCATTGAATAAAAATACAGGGGTCTCAGTTAAATCTGAATTAGAGGTAAACAATGAAGAATTTTTAGTATATCATGTATAATGCTTGGGCTATACTTATACTAAACATTATTGTTGTTTTCCTGCAATTCAGATTTAACCGAGAGTTCTGTATTTTTATTTGCTAAATCTGGCAACCTTATCACAAGGCCACTCTCTCATTTTTATCCTGGAACTTGTCCTCCTCCCTGAGGGTCTTGTTGCTATAGAGCCAAAGGAGCTTTATGCCTTTTTGATGGCCATATTCTTGATATTAATCCTGCCCTCTCCTGCTGTTCTCATTCCTTTGCCCCAAGGCCCAAAGGACCTGTGCCACCAGCCCCAAGGGCAGCACACTGAGGGAGAAGGTAAAGCACTCGTCTGAGGCCCTCTTTCTCTTTTCTCCCCGGTATGTTTAATAGCACTTGGCCCTTTCCTGGCCTTCTGGAGTGCGGAGCCTACAAGTCTCTAAGTACCCACAATGCGAGTGTGTGTAAATCCAGCACGATGACACATATTGAGACTAAAGGGGACGCTGGGTATGGGTGTAAATATGTGCAGCGTGTTTCTAGCTGAGCAGTTCGTGTTGAAAGGGATTTAGTCTGCTCCTTGGTGAGCAGCCTGGGAAGATATTGTTGTTGGGACTCTACCTCTGTACAGCTCTTCCCCAAATTTCTTTCAGGTTTTATAGTGTTATGGATCTTATTTTAGTATCAAGTTTTTGGTTAACAAAGTAGATGAAACCACAAGAAATATTCACTTTTTATTGCATAGGGGAAAACAACTGTTGGCAAGGATGTGGAGAAAAGGGAACCCTTGCACACTGTTTGTGGGAATGCAAATTCGCACCACCATTATGGAAAACAGCATGGAGGTTCCTCAAAAAATTAAAAACAGAGCTATCGTATGATCCAGCTAACCCACTTCTGGGTAAATATCCAAGGGAAATGAAACCAGTATGTTAAAGAGACATCTGCTCTTCTGTGTTCATTGCAACACTATTCACAAGAGCCAAGAAATGGAAACAAGAAATGGAAACAAGCTACGTGTCCGTCACTGGATGAGTGGGTAAAGAAAACGTGCTTACACAATGGAATACTATTCAGTCGCAAAAAGAATGAAATCTTGTCATTTGGAATAGCATAGATGTAACTAGAGATTGTTTTTTAGTGAACTAAGCCAGGCACAGAAAAATAAATACATCGTTTCACTCCTATGTGGAATCTAAAGAAGTTGATGGAATAGAAATTGAGAGGAGAATGGCAGTTACCAGCTGGGGAGTGTAGGGAGGTTGGGAAGGCTGGGGAGAGGTTGATTAATGGGTATAATAGTTCTATTATAGTTGGATAGGAGTAAGAAGTTCTGTTATGTCTGTGTACAGTACGGTGATGACAGAATAATGATAATATATTATACATTTTTTTTTTTTTTCTTTTTGCAGTACCGGGGATCAAACTCAGGACCTTGCACTTGCAAGGCAGGCAGCAGCACCACTGAGCTAAATCCCCAGCCCTATTATACATTTTTAAAAGGTAGAAAAAAGGATTTTGAATGTTTTTATCATAAGAAATGATGAATATTGAGATAGATATCTTTGACCTAACTTAGGCATTACACAATATATATATATATATGTGTGTGTATTAAAACATCGCATGATACCCTACTAATACATATAATTTTAATATTTCTATGTATCAGTTAAAAATCAATTTAATTAAAACAATGGAAAACAGAATTTGAGTCTCCAAGGTTTCTAATAAGCCAGAAAAAAGGGTTCCATTAAATGCTAATCAGTTCCTCTAATTTGCTCTCCTTCCTTCTAGTTGCAGATGGGTGACTGCTGCCTGATCCTGGGTGAGAGGCATTTTCTTTGCCAGTTGTCCAAAGAATGGAAATTTCCTGCAGTTTCACAGACATAATGGATATATGCTGACTTTTTAAAAGCCATCTGTTACTAGGGGCAAAAAGAAATAAAAGAGGAAAATACTTACTTTTAGACTCTCTAATATACGTGAAAAAAAATCTTCCTAAAGAAATGAGCAAAAAAAAAAAAGAAAGAAAGAAAAGAAAAGAACAACAGTCTTCATAAATCTGGATCCTAGTACTCATATTGCAGGTTACCAGGTTCCAAGTGGCATCTTAAGACCGGGAGGACACAAGGAACAAGGTGCAGCCTAATCTGAAGAACAAGGTACAGCCCACTGTTGCACCAAGTAGTTTCTGCTGCCAGGTTTACCACCGCCCCCCTTCCTCCTTTTTCTCTTTGCCCCAGTAGCCTGAGCTGCTCACTACTGTCTGAATACCCAAGCTATTTCTCCCCTTTGTGCCCATACCCTTCCTGTCCCTCTGCCTAGTTATCCCTATTCCATCTCCCTGGCTACCTGCCACCCTTTAACTTTAAACATGGGGACTGCCTCCTCTAGGCATCTCCCTTCTGGCCCTTTCAGGTCCCGTTAGGTGTCCTGTCAGTGTGTTCCCATAACATCTGCTGATCCCCATTGTTGCATGAATCACATTATGTGATATTTCTTGGTTTGGGTCTCAGTCTACTCCATGGTATCTGAACACCTTGAGTTCAGAGGCTATGTCTTGTTCATCTTGGTACACCTAATTCTAGTGTAGTGCCTTGTTCACATCAGGCAGGTAGGTGCTCAATGGGTAGCTGGATGGACAATGACTTTGAAATACTTGATAATGAATTCTAGTATGTTGGATGGAAGTCTTCAAGTCATCCAAACCCACCAAGAGATTGTGATAATAGGAAGCTAGGGATTTTCCCACATATGCATTTTAGCATATATAGGCTTCTGAGGGAATTTAGCTCTTAATTAGTGGCAGACTCCATGCACTATTTTCAAAATTTCCAAATGCCCATTGGATATCATATATTCATCTAGCATAAGAAGTCCCCAGAAAAAAATGTTCACTTGCATCATTTCTGGTTGGAATTTTAGCATCCCTCTCTGATAACCCCAGTTTTTTCATGAGAAACAAAATATAAGTGGTTTGTTAGTATGTACTTTTAAAAAAATTGTGCAAATTAGCACATAACTGCATGATGTGTGTGTGTGTGTGTGTGTGTGTGTGTGTGTGTATGTGTTTTGATGAGAATAACCACCAGCTAAGCTGAACAGGATGAAAAAATAAAGCATTTCTTTGGTGGTAGAAAGATGAGGTGCCAATTTTAGTCTGTACTCATTCATTTATTCAAATGTACTGAGCACCTATTACATGTCAGACACTGTTTTAGGAGCTCCAGAAATATCAGTGAAGAGGATGCACATCTTACCCTCCTGGATTTCACCTTTTATGAGGGAGAAAGACATAATTAACAAACCAATTAATACATTAAAAAGTAAGTGATAATAGTAAGGGTTACTCAGAGGATGAGATCAGAGGGACGAACTGTAGTGATGGGTGGGAGAGGAGACCTTTGCCAGGAGGTTCTATTTAAGTCAACACCCAAGGACAATACATATGAAAATAGCACTTCTAGAAGAGGAGATCATGCCAATGACCTCCAAGGCAGGAACAAAGGCAGCATCCATATTGTGTTTTTGGTTTACTTGTTTCCATCTGTCTCTACGGGGTTGTTTCTATTCTGTAACAGGAAAGACAATGTCTGCTTTATTTATCAAAATATTCCTAGTGCCCAGTATAGTGCCTGCTTGGCACATAGTTTGTGCTCAATACATATTAATGAATAACGAGTATACCTTTGCTTACCGGCAGGGCAGTTCCTACGGATGTGGACCTTGAGCATCAGCTGGGCAGAATGAAGTGAGACAGAAGCTGTCTCCTCGCTGAGTCTGGCAGCCAAAGAGGCTCAGGGGCCCGGTGAGTAAGCGTCTTTCCTCAGCCACCCCTTCTAAGGCTTCATGTGCAGGCTCGCTTATTTTCTGTGCAATGGAAATCCGAGATCAAACTTGGTTGGATTCATTCTTATCACTCAGCTGCACGATAATTTCTGGGCAAAAGGAAGCTTCTAACTAAGAGTTAAAATCCCTCAGAAGGTATACGCCAAGTTACATACGTAGAAAAATCCCTGGCTGCCTTCTCTGGTGTAAGGATGATAACAACTAGTTAGCATGCTGTTCTGGGCCAGCTGGGTCTTTAACTCAAGCAAAACAACCATTGCCACAAAAAGTCTGCTGCAGGTGCTGGTTCTAGGTGCAGCTGAGGTTATTTGAGGGCCCATTTCCCATGAGCTACCTTGCATCTCAATTTTGTGAGGTCCTGAAATATTTAAAGTCTTTAAAGACTTTGGGCCTACTTTTCTCTATATCAAAACTTTGAAGTTCTACCCACATCCCATATTAGGTCTAATTCATTTTTCTCCTGCTTTAAATCATTTGAAAGAGGTTTGCTTCCATTAGCTACTGCTGTGTAACAAACAATCTCAAAATTTTGTGGTTTAAAGTGACAATGGATTATCTTTCATGGTGTGGGTCATGAGATGGTGTCTGCTGGAACAGTGAAGCCTTGGCCAGAAGCTCAGCTTAGGCTGAAATGTCTGGAATGCCTGGCCGTCAGAGGCAGATGGACTTCGATTGAGAGTTCAGCTGGGGCTGGAGCTGGGGGCGGAGCTGGGGGCCTTGGTTCTTCTCTGTGTGAGCCTCCCCACATGGCTGCTTGGACTGCCTCACAGAGTAGAGGCTGAGTTCCAGGAAGGACTATTCTAAGAGCAAGCATTCTAAGAGGGAGAAAGCAGAAGTCGCCAGGTCAATTAATGGATAGTCCCGGAATTGGCATAGTATCACTTCCTATGGCCTGTACTCAAGGTGGACGAGAACCCCACAAGGGCATGATATTGGGGGATCTGTTTACTGGGATCATCAAAATAATAGTATATGATGAGCTTTAAATTAATGGTTATTTTATACCTCAACTGAATAAAACAGAATTACCATATGACTCAGCAGTTCATCTTCTAGGCACTTCTATATAACCAAAAGAATTGAAAGCAGGGACCCAGACAGATATTTATATACCTGTGTTTGTAACATTATTTACAATAAATAGCCAAAAGGTCGAAACAAGCTAAGTATCCATTCATTGATGGATGAATGAATGGACAAACAAAATGTGGTATTGTCTTAATCTGTTTTTGAGCTTGATCTGATAGTGAGCTTGGTTGCACAATAAGGTGAATGTACTTAGGCCACTGAATTGTACATTTAAAAAAAAAGTTAAAATGGTAAATGTTATGTTTATTTTACCATAATAAATTTTTTAATTTTAAAATTTAGAAAAGTAAGATAGTTACATTACTTTTTTGTAGTATTCATTATATCTATGTACGAGTTGAGTTAAACTGCAGGTAACTTTTTGTTGTTGTTGCTGTTGAAATTCTGTGGAAGTTGTGTGTAATGTGCATGTCTATAATTCCGGCTACTTGGAGTCTAAGGCAGGAGTATCACAAATTTGAGGCCAGCCTGGGCAACTTAGCAAAACTTTTGTCTCAAAAGAAAATAGAAAAGGGCTGGGGATACAGTCCAGTGATACAGTGCTTGTTTAGCCTGAGGCCAAAAGCTTAATCCCTAATACCACCCCCTCAACCCCACCAAAAAAATCCACCGAATAGAAACCTTGGCATCACTTGGATATTGTTAGAAACACATACTCTCAGGCTCAGCTTAGAGCTACTCAATCAGAATCTGCAAAGAAGATTCTCAGATGTTTTGTATGCTCATTAATATTTGGGAAACAATGAATTACATGATCTAACGCTGTGTTTTGTGGACATGTAGTTAAACATTTATTAATTTAGATTATGCAATTTTCTGTCTTGTATTTTGGAATAATTTCACATTTTTTAAGTCCTCAAAATTTTCATAGTTATTTTGAGATACTGGTGGGCCCTAGAAACCATGTTGGAAGTGCCCCAGGGGTAGATCTGGTCAATTTTGCTGGTAGTCATATCTCCCTTGGCCCCAACCCCTGACTCCCCTCCAGGGCTACAGTTCTTCAGTCACCTCTCTGGTTTTCACAGGAGTGCTTCCGTGAAAGCCTGTTGGAAGTTTTCAGAACTGCAGCCCACGGCCTAGCGACTGCAGCTCTGAAGGTAGATCCAGGTCTCTTTCTAAGACACCATGTCCCAGGGCTGGTTCAGAGGCCATAGAGACAAAATTCTGTTACTCCAATCACTGGATGATTAACTCAACTCTAAAGTTTCCTACTGGAGGGAGCTTCCCAGCTCCATTGGAAAAAACCACAACTATTTGCTAAAGTTTAATATACATGCAGAAAAGTGCACATGTAAGTTTATAAGTCAGTACATTTTCATATTTTGACATTCTTGGAACCAACCCCATGTCAAGGAATGGAATGTTTGTTTGTTTGTTTCTTGAGACAGGGTCTCCAGCAGTTCAGCTTGCCCTCAAACTCACTATGTGGCTCAGGCTGGCCTCAAATTCATGATGATCCTCCTGCCTCAGTCTCCTGAGTGCTAGGATTACAGGCATGAGGAAATGGAATATTATCAGCCACCAAGAAACCCTCCATTTTCCCCACTATTTGGACTAGTATAGATTAGCTTTTACCAGTTTTTATTCTTTATATAAATAGGATGATATGGTGTGTTCTCTTTTGTGTATAATTTTGGTTTGTTTGTTTGGTTTTTTTTGGTCAACTTTACACTTATGAGAGTTAGCTATATGTAATTGTGGGTTCCTTTGTTTTTTTGTTTTGTTTTGCTGTGTAGTGAGCTGTTGTGTGAATTCAGAACAATAAAACAGAATTAATTATATTGTGGGTGATTTTTTGGGCAGCTTCCAGTTGGGGCTATTGTGAACAGTGCAGCTAGGCACATCTTAATACTTTTGTTGGGAGAAATACCTAGCATTTCTATGCAAATTACTTTGGAGTGGACTTGTTGGGTCATAAAGAGTCACATACGTTTACCTTTACAGATACTGCCAAGCTCTTTCCTACACTGTTAGCCCCATTTAAAATCTCAAAGTGAATGCTCCTGACCCCATTGTATCCTTTCTTAGGAGTTGTGACAAATCTCAAACATGACATTCCTCTCATGTGCAAGATTTACAAATTTCTACCAAAACATTAGTGCTAACATTTCAAAATAAATAAATTCATCTATGAAATCGGCAGCAGTGGCAGGCCGAAAAAGCTAACAATCAACAGCTATAGTACTGGGGATGCGAAGATGGTTTTCTTTGTTGCTGAGAGCTGGGGAGCCTTTTGCAAAAGCTGCTGCCAATCAGGCTTGCCTATCTTGCAGGGCTAATTAACAGCACTTGGGCAAGCCAGGGATGGGGGCGGGTGCCTGCACAGGATGCAAACTGAGCCATCCCAAGGCTTGTGACTAATTATAAATACAAAGCACTTAAAGGTTGCAATAACCCCCAACCCCCAAGAAAAAAAAAAAGCACCTCTTCAGAATTCTAATGCCAGCATGGTTGTGATTGTTGGCTCAGGAGGAGAGGTGCTAGGAAAAAAATCTCTCAGTGCCGACTGAATCACACAGCATCCTGTATCATGCAGCCACCCTTGGAGATCATGCACTGAGCAAGAGCAGTGCTTTCTTTGTGTAGTACAGGATTTGGGGGCAGTGTGTCAATTCCATTTCCAGGGGCGCCTGGGGCCCTAGCAGGATAAACCTGTTATTCTCCTGCTCTCCTTAAGCGTGGAGGAGCAGATTGAGGTAATCCAGGCCCCTGCAGGGGTGAGTGGAGTTGTATATGCAAGCTTTGATCCCCACTAGTTACAAACCACAAATAATACATAAGGTATGCAAATTAGGCGCCAATTAATAGTGCTTATTAACATCTCCTCGAACCTTGCCAGGAGAAGCTGTGAATGCTTGCCAGGGAGGAAAGCTATGCTTGTGCACCTCGTGGCAGAAGCATGTTTGGTCAGGCGAAAGCACTGCAGTGCTGGGAGAACAGAATGAAGCTGAAACTGAAGGCTGCTTTGGCACCCTCAGGCATCTGAAAAAGCGTCCACAGTTCAGGCTTGAGGAATGATTTGATATGAGAGTAGGAATCAGGTGAAAGTAAGTATCTCTGTTTCCCCTTCCTTCGGAGCACTGCCCAGCCCTAGATTCTAATGAGTTCTAAATTTCGGAACTCATCTCAGGGTCTCCCCCTAACCCCAGGGCCTCCCCCTAATCTGGAGAGAAGAGACCAGGACAACCCAAGCCCCCAGTAATCTGGAAGAAGGGGGAGAGGCTGGGGGATAGGGAGAAGGGAGAAGGAAACAGACAACTATTACTTAAAAGAATGGTGAAAAATCATTCACTAGTAGCCTTCACGTTCCAGAGCTTCATCCGACCTGATCTTCATCATTGACCATTTTATAGTGAAGCTTATGAGTGCCTTTTCAGAATAGAATTTTAAATGTATAAAATATAGCATATAGCATTATATTAAAACACAACTAGCAAAATATTTAAAGTGCAATATGAGAACAAATGTGCTTCTCTACTAACATTAATTATCAAATTCCAACGACTGGAATGGTGTCAAAGTAATGATAAGTATAGGTACCTATAATGACTGTAATGTCGTATAAAGTATTTTCTGTGATTTCTCTTAGTGACAGTCACAGGTGCTGAGAGCTCTAGTGTGTTACCTACCATCGTAACAGAGGGAAATGCAAAATTAACCTCAGTTAGTGGCCAGTGAAAATAAAGGTATAATTTTTTTCCCATTCATGTTTATAAATTTCCTGCCTTCTAAGCAGTCTCCTAGGTTAAGAATTTATGAAGCAGGTTTACTAATCGCAAGGGAGGATTCGCACTGTATGGAGAGAGCCGAGATTATCACTATGCTAACCATCAGGAATGGGAGCTCAAACACTTTGCCCGACTGGGATTTGGGCTGCAGTTTTCCCAATTGTCTGAATCTGGTGAAACAGAGCATGTTCAAGTATAGCAAGTTATAGAAAATAAATTTATTACTTATAGATAGTCAGCAAGAGAAAAAGAAGTCTAGGGTCCATAGTGAGCCAGTCCCCCAAGGCTCGCAAAAGCTGCCTGGGGTGAATGGAGTCTTGATTCCATGTCCCCATTTGCACTACTGATGCGGAACACCACCACCAACCGCCCTGCAGAACACAAGTTGCCCTGGGTTACACATGTCGGGGCGGAGGGGCAACAGTACTGTCTAGGAAAAGCTCTGAAGGACATCCTGTTTCCAGGGGGAGAGAGGAACAAAGCCTGGGCTGTGTCAGTCAGTTCCTCCCTATCTCAAGGTATTGTATTTCCAGTGCCTTCTATAGTCATTTTGAGAACTGTAAGCATGAAGAAGTGGTTAGAGGGTGGTGAGGGGAGAAGCTGGGTT